CATGTGTGCATGATCTATCGGAGCTGGCGTCGGAACTCTTGGCGTCTATTCCTTTCAGCCATGACATAATACTTGATTTTTGTGAGGTATTCATTTTCGATCAATTGTTCTGTTGTTGAATGTGGCGCTGTTGAAGAAATTTTTCTCTGTGAAACACACAGAGATGCTTGGTGTATTTTTTTCAAAGTAATTAACCTAGAACAGTGCTTTCCTGTGGTTACAAAATTAGCAGTGGTCCAAAATCAGGCACATCCTCCTATCTCCCTATTTGCTAAAGATAACTTATTTTAATATAATTGGTCATTTAGGTTCATAGCATGCATTCCTATGCAATGGTGTATATATATTGTAGCCCTTGTGTCCACTCAAGTATAAGCACACTGTATCGATTTAGCTAAGTACGTACAGGTAGGTTGTGCATTTTACAAAGAAACTTATTTTATTAAAATATGAAAACCCGTCTCAAACTTTCTGAAACCGATAAAGTAAATTACAGATGAAAAATTTACATAGTTTTTAATTATTCATTTAAAAAAATTATAAAGATGTTAGCGGTTTTTTTAGGCCGATTCCACTATTTCCCTATACATTTTGACTAAAATAATAAGTCAATCCTCTCAGTCAGGCATCTTTTCCCACGCTACCGTTTGGGGAAACATATATGCTATCGCTGATGGGCCATATTCAAATAATTCTGATCCTGTTGTATGACCCTTGAGGTTCTACATCCCAGTCAGTTCTTGTCACTTATAATTTGTTATTAATGCCATTAAGAAAGTAAAAGGCTGAGCTGTATCAGATACTCTTTTTTTCAAAGGTGATCAAAAACCTCTTTCTCTTTTACACGGCTCCTTAGAAATCAAAATGTCCAGTGAAAAACTTGTTGTTTCTAGAAGTGTCCTAAGATGTCTCACATATGTTGAATCACTATTTCTTGAAAGGTTGATAACTTTTCCCATTGGCCCTTACCAATCATGGCCTCCTAATAATCCCATCTATGAATTGGCTTCATGATTCTGTTCTCCTCCCCACTGATAGCTGATGTGTGGTGAGTGTTCTGGCGCATTATGGCTGCCGTCGCATCATCCAGGTAGATGCTGCACATTGGTGGTGGTGGAGGGGAGTCCTCATTACCTGTAAAGCGCTTTGAGTGGAGTGTCCAGAAAAGCGATATATAAGTATAAACAATTATTATTATTATTATTATTATTATTATTATAACTTTGATGCTTACAATGTTTTGGAAGAAAGTGGAATACTAGTGTGTATTTTTTCTTTATAAATTACCAATACCAGCCATATACAGTTTACAAAATACGTTTATATTCCTAAATTTATATAGTTTGACCATCAGACGCGTTATGCTCCTCTTTTTTTTATGCTCATCTACTAAAATTTCCCTTTAGTTGTAAAATGTCTTATAAATATTCAATACTAAGCAGATTAAATCATGGACAGTAAAGAGACTAAATGATTAAGTCTTTTCAC